CAAGTCTGATGTTCTCTGAAACTGCTACAGAGCAGGTGCAGAGGTTAAATTGTTCTGTTTTTTTAATTTAATTGTGAAAATAATTCACTTCCAGTGCTTATGAATCCCATAATTCAGAAGACATTTTAGATATTTTACAGTTGAGTATAACTCCAGAGGATGCATGCATTCCCAAAAATGTGTGTTGAAATTTCAACGTGGCATATGGCAACATTACTGTATGACACCCAGTAATAAAAATAAATCAATCTATATCTGGCACTCTTATAAGGCCGTAAGCTTAATTGTTTATTTTGTAAGTGACCACTTTAATTTTATATACAAGTTGTAACTTTTTTTTCAGTGCAAGCATACACAAGAAAATGCTAATCCCAGCAACAGAATCAGCATTGCTATTGTTTCACCAGACTGGGGACACTCTGCTCAGTCTCCTGTGATGGTAGTACAGACATACTTCTCTAATCCATCAACCATGGCTGCCGGCTCTTTTTTTACTTATCTTGGACAAACAGTATTTCTTCAGTGCCAAAAAATCCCACACTGCTGTTCATTTACCTTTTGAGGTCTCCCATGTCCTTTTTAGACCACCAGAAGCTAGTCCCTTGGAGATCAAAAACTAGACACTTTCTTCTTGGCATGTAGTCATCCAGATGGTGTTTCTGCAGCAGAGGATGGTGAAGCAACAAGTCCTCTTTGAGCAGTACTAGTGGAAACACAGGAGCAGATACTGTTGGAACATACCTTTCAAAATGTTGTGGGCCAAACTGTTCTTGGGTATCCTGTCCAGAAGGACAATGTTTAGGTGTTGCTGAATAAGCATACAAGCTGTTGAAGGGTTTGCAATGAAAGAGAGGCATTTTTCTCTTTAAGTATTAACATATATATATAATTGACTGTCTGCCAACATTTTAGTGCGCACTCAGGCTTAAATTTATACATAATAGTATTCAAATAAGTCATTTTAAATTGTGCTTCCGTTCTCATGTTCTCTTCCCTGCTGCAGCCTTTAACTGTTTTTCCATTCTAATTCCTTGAAATTTCTGGATTAACAGCTGTCCCTTCCTGCCTCTCTGGGCATACCTTCAGTATATCTTTTTAGGGAATCCTTTCATTCCTGCCTCCCATTCTCATTTTACCCTCTTCCAAGGAATAAACAGCTCACATGACTTCAGCTTGCCATCTTATACTGCTGATGTGTGAATCTCTACTCCTGGCCTCCTTTCACCTAGTCTTACATCTCATTTTCTCTTTTGGGTGTATTGTCATGAGCTTACCATAGTCCAAACTGAACTAATTTTTCTTCCCAAGCTCTTTCTGCTTCCCTTTTCTTTGTGACAACTATAAACACCACAGTCTTTCTTGTCACCCAAGCTCACAACTGGCAGGTACAGTAAGGAAGTAATCACCAACAACCTGTGTGACTTTTCATATCCAGCCTATGTCTATAGTCTGCCACTCCTTCTTGTATAATTTCCAACAGTCATTTTTTTTCACTAGTCACTGCTGAAACACTCATTCACACCCTCACTTCCTTCTTGATGAATTGAAACCTACTCCTCCTGTCTGCTCTTCCTAGTAACCTTACTCTGTGCCTCTCAATTCATAACAAATGCAGCTGCTAAAATAACCTTTCTTACTTGTTGATCTACCTTTGTGGCATACACTCCACTTCTTGAATTCCTACACTGTCTGATTTCCTCTACTACATCACGTTTAGGCTTCTTGCCCTTCAAGGCCCTATATATATCACCCCTTCCTACTTTTCCACTTTTCAGTGTTGCTTCTAGTCACAGCCACTTCACTGATGGTGCTTGCCGCAACACGTTTGTCTGCTTCTCCCAACAAGTGTAGCCCTGCTCTTGCATCTGAAAAGCCCTTCATTAGTCGGAGGACTGCATGGTCTCTCTGCCCTTTCAGCATTCTAATATTTCCTGAAGACCTATTGCTGCCATAACACATGTGATTAGCCAGCTAACAAATTAGATAACATGATGGAAGGAACATAAGAACGGCTGTACTGGGTCCAATCAATGGTCCATCTAGCCCAGTAGCCTGTCTTCTAACAGTGGCCAGGGTCAGATGCATTGGAGTGCATGAACAGAACACAGCAATTTCTAGTGATTCATCCCCTGTCATCCAGTCCCTGGGCTGGACATCCCGAGTATGGGGTTGATTCCTAATAGCCACTGATGATAGCCCTAACCTGCATTAACATCTCTAATTCATTTTTTAACCCAGTTACACTTCTGGCCTTCACAACATCTCCTGGCAATGAATTTTAATAGATTGACTGTACTGTGTCTGAAGAAATACTTCCTTACTGCCTATTAATTTAATTGAGTGACCACTGATTCTTGTGTTATGTGAAGGGGTAAATGACACTTTTTTTTATTTTATCCATACCTCTCTCAGACCCTCCTTTAGTTATCTCTTTTCTAAGATGAAAAGTGCCAGTCATTTTTAATTTCTCGTCATATGGAAGCTGTTTGATACTCCAAATCTCTTTTGTTGCTCTTCTCCGTACCTTTTCCAATTCTGTTCTTTTTTTGGGGGGGCGGGGGAGGGATGAGGAGACCAGAACTGCACATAGTATTCCAGGTGTGGGCACACCATAGGCTTACATAGTGGGATTGATATTTTCAGTCTTATCTGTTTCTTTCATAATGATTTCTAACAGTGTTACCTTTTTTGAATGCTGCTGCATAATGAGCAGATTTTCAGAAAACTATCCATGATGGCTCCACAATCTCTCTTGAAGGCGAATGGCTGATTTAGAATGAGTATCATTTTGTGTATATAGTTGTAATTTTTTCCCAATGTGCATTACTTTGCATTTTTTAACATTCATTTTCATCTGCCAGTTTCTTGCCCAGTTTTGTGAGATCTCTCTGAAGGTCCTCACAATCAGCTTTGGCCTTAAGTATATTGGATAATTTTGTATGTTCAGATTTTGACACCTCACTGAGTACCCATTTTTTTTCTAGGGATTGTAGATAGGATGTAATTGAATAGTCGTGTAACCCCATCAATTTTTTGCAGTTACACAACTATTTGATAGTCTATGGAGGCGGGGCCGACAGCCAGTGCGCTTCCAGGCCCGCTCCCAGAAGCTCCCTGCCAGCCAGCACTGCTGCCTCTATATTAGGGCAGCAGTGCAAGGTGGCAGGCGGGAACTGGTCTGCGAGGGGAGCCGGTTTAAAAAAGTCAGAGACTGCTCTATCAGAGACAGCAGTGTGGGGGTAGAGGGGCAGGCAGATCCGGTGTCTGTGGGGGAGTTGAAAGCCAGCTCCCCAGGGTAACTGGCCCCTGCCTCCCCCACCTTGCCGCCTCTCATAGAGGCAGCGGGAGGGAGGAATGCGTGTAGTCATCAGGATTAACGAATAAACCCAGGCTTATCAGTTAATCATGTAGTAATCTACACGTTTACATCCCTAACTTTTTCCAGGTCATTAATGAAAGTTGAACAGTAATAATTCAGTACAGAGCCTTGGAGGATCCCACTAGTTAATTCTCTCCACTGTGAAAACTACACATTTATTTCTACTCCTTGTTTATCTTTTAACCAGTTACTGATCTCTGTTATCTATGATTGCTTACTTTGCTTAAAAGCCTTTGGTGTAGTAACATATCAAGACTTTTAGAAATCCTTTGGTTCATTTTTGTGCATGTGTTTAACACCTTCAAAGAAGTCTAATATATTAGTGAGACACAATTTCCCTTTACAAAAGCCAGGTTGACTTGTTCCCGGCATACTGTGTTCATCCACACATTTGATAATAGTGTTCTTTATTGGAGTTTCACCCAACTTGCCTGGTACTAAAGTTGGACTTACCAGCCTTAATTGCCAGTGTCACCTCTGGAACTTTTGTTAACAATCAGTGTCATATTAGCTATTCTTATGAAACTGTAACGAATCACCAGGACCAGTATCTTCACTAAAGAGTTGTGAAGGAACTCAAACATGAAATTGCGGAACTATTAACTATGGTGTCCAACCTATTGCTTAAATTGTTTTTATTCTAAAACCGCTTCTGTTGACACCTCACTCTTGGACAGTTCTTCAGGTAAGTCACCTAAAAAGACCACGCCAAGTGGTGGAATCTCCATCACATCCTCCGCAGTAAAGATCAGTGCAGAGAATCCATTTAGCTTCTCCCCTATGGCCTTATGTTCCATGAGTAGCTCCTTCAGCAATCTGTTGCCCAGGGTTGGACAAAAATACAGCAATCGTTTGCCAGTACCTGCAGCTATGCAGGTAAATATAGAGGCAGCTATCCACTAGGGAATAATTCTGGCAATTGCAGCTCCCATTAACCTATTAGAACACTTTATTGGAACACCTAATTTTAGAACACTGGGAAAATATTGATAGAGCTGTTTCTTTATGAATTAAATATACATTATATGGTTATAAAAAAATTAAACAGTCAGGAAAGAGTAAGATAGAAAATACTTGAACATCATCTGCTGTAAATTAAGACTGAATCCTGGATTAGGGCCTAAGGTGAAACAATCCATGTCTCTATTTTTATTCAAGTAAAGTTACACATGAGTACAGTCAAGGCCTTAGCGTACCAAGCGCTTTAGTGATAGTAAATTGTTTGTGCCCAAAAGGTACTACAATCTAAATGGACTCTATACTAGTGAGGAAAAGGTGGTAACAAGCAAATAGCTCAGCAATGAAGTTCAGAAAGTGTTTTGTTAATGTAACAATTTTTGTTTTGAACGTATGTTAACAGTGTCAGCTATATTGCTGATGTCTGCAATTGTAAATGCAGATCATCCTCAATATTCCTTATTTAACCAGAAAAATCTCTTAGAAGGTTAAAACAATCAATATTTGCCCTGTTGTTCCAGGTGCTGCCATAGTCAAACAGTTTCCGCGTACTTAGCAAGTCATTGCAAGTGATCAGTGCCTAAAAGCCTAATTATTGAAGTAGATTTTCACCTTTTGTTTAGCAGTTGCATACCAATTAAATAATTTTTTTTCTTCCTCACAGGGAGTTCCTGTAATGGCCATAAGAAACAAAATGATTTCTGAGGGGCTAGACCCAGATCTCCTTGAGTAAGTAATATTATTGTCTTTATACTAGAGTTGGAGTGCTACACACTTAAAGCCTTCTGTCATGCTGTCTGGAGTGGTGCACAACTGAGTGTCTATCTCAGTGCAGACGGTCAAAAACAGGGTTACCTCACATAGGCGGTGTATTCTGTAATTTAGAATTTAGATTTTACCAAGCCAGTGACAAATGTGAACTCCTGGATCACTCTCCAGTCTATCCTGCCACCCCAACAAACTGGATTTAATGATAAATGGTCACTTACACCGAAATCACACCATACTCAGGTTACTTTCAATCCCAAGACATTAGTCATTACTTCATATCAGTTGGGACCCTAGTTATTACACCAAAGACAATGCCTGCAGCCAATCCTATAATAACCTATCAGAAGGTTTATTAATTAGGAAAAAGAAATGAGTTGTATGATGTTAAAGCAAGTAAACATATACACAGAAATGAGCTATCTAAGTCCTAAGTGACAGAGGAGTTTTCTGCTGAAAGGAAGGAACCAATGGTAGTTTTGAATTGTGGGAATCTAGATACATTGCCAACCAGTGTTTCAGTTCTCTCTCCACCAGGCATAGCAAGGGGATTTCTTGGCTGATTCATTCATCACCTTTCCTTACCACCTTTTGTGGCCTTGTCTAAGTGCCAGAGGATTCTCTTAACTTCTTCATAAGTGCCCAGTGAAAGGGAGCCAAATGGAAGAAAGCATCTGGCTGTGCTAGCCTGGGCCCAGAGATGTAGACTGCTACTGCTGCTTATTTCTGGTCAGAGAGATGTTATCTGGTGGTTTGGCAGTTTGAGTGTCTCCTGTAGCTCTCGAAGGTTGTGGTGTGCTGCATGGGGTATCTGAAGTGGCCATAGAGCTTCCTAGCTGTTGACAGCAGTGTCTGCACCTCTGCCTCCCTCTCCAGAAATTCCCTCACAACCAGCCTGAAACAGTGAGCAACTCAAGAGACATGTGAGGCCACCATCATGCACTGCTTTTATGATGATCACTCTGTCATCTCTTGCCATGAACCCAGCAGAGATTATGAGGCTATAGGCATCCATAACAGCACACAATTTGTCCAAGGTTTTGGGGAATTGTACTGTTTCCCAAATCCAGATGCATAAAGTGTGGTATGCCATGGATTGAAGACGTGCATGTTGTTGCCATTGTCAGTCTTTCCTGTTGTTCATCCAGAGTACTGCAAGACATGTAGTGTTGTCTGATGACTAGTCCACATATCAGCACTCAGGTTCATGCTTTCCACCTTCGCAGTTAACCAATCCAGTGTGTGCTGCCTTTGTCACAGCAGCACCGAGATCTGGCTCTGCCTTTTACATAAAATAAGAGCAGCTAGCAATCTGCCACCTGTGCAGTCACAAAGAATCTGAATCCCTTACTCTCCATATAGGAAGCATGTCCATGGCCAGCATCCTTGCACATTCTCTAGTCAGTTTCATGGCTGGGTTCATATTTTTGCCCCCTGCACACCATATGGGCCTGTTAAGTGGTGCTATAGGGCTTAGGTAACAAAGTTGTGGAAAGTATTGGTTGTGTTATAGTCAACATCTGCTGTTCAGTAGTCACAGTGCCTTTTTGCTTCTCTCCAAATCCTAAGTTAGCTGTGTTACAAAAAATGCCAGGGAAGAAATGTACATAGTGTGGGAGCAACCTCAACCTCTTTTAAGATTCTGCAAAGTACTAAGATTCAGGCAGGTGGAAAAATTGTTGATGTGGAAATCTCTCTGTACATGATACACCGATACAAAGCAAACTAGTTATTTGACAACGTAAATGAGTACTTTTAATTTGTGAGCAAAAGCTTCCAGGATTCCTCGTGGGTAAAATATGTTTTAAAAAACAGGTGCAGCTTGAAAGTTTTGCTGCCAAAACAGGCAGTCTTCCCTTCTTTCTCATCCACCCTACAAGAAGGGATTAGGAAAGTGAGGCTCATTCCCAGGGCCATGGAAATCTAAATGTCCTTCTGCAAGGTAGTGCCGAACACTGTTGCTATATCTTTAGCCTGGTCTGACCTGGCTTGGCCTGTTCTTCCACATCCTTTTCCACTTTGAAAAGGTACTGTGACAGTTTTCATACAAGGCATCAGGGTTATCTTGTCTCTCTCTGATTTTTCCCAGTGTCTGAAATGACTTTTATGAAGGCAGCACTTGCTCTATGTGACTGGAAAGAGATGCTGTTTTTAGTGGGATGAAGTTTCTCTTTTTTTCTTGCATCGCTTCATTATTGGCCTGAAACTTTCAGAATTTCATAAGGTCTTTAACGCTGAATCTGTCCTGCCCTCCTTTCCCCATATGTACCCTTATTTTTTTTTTACACATCTTATTTTGTCCTCTCCTGTACTTTTGGACTTTGGGGATTAACCAAAGTTGCATGAATCTTGTTTGTGATCCTCCTGCAGTGCTTTCATATCTTGCATTGCCATGGTAATAAGAATAATCCTGAGAGGTTTGTATGGGTTGTGCACAGAGTATGCATCTCAGGCATCTAAATCAAGTGAATTCAAGTGCAAAATTGAGGATAGAAGTCACCTTTCTTTGGCAGATGTTGAGAGATGACCATTAGATACGGGATACTCCAGAATGGCTGTCTTGGTGGTTATTCACTGATGTAGTGGGTCAGGATTTACTGTCATGGTGTCCTGACAGGTCTCCTGTTCCATCAGTGATGATAACTGGAAGGGGGTGTGCTCAATCATGTGTGCTGTGTTGACTTGCACACTTAGTCAACACAGCAGACTCCAAGAAAGCCCCAAAAACCACAAATCAGATAGGGGTCGAAGGCTCCTGGCCAGGTTTATTGTTAAGTGAAGTACAGTAACAGTTGTGAGTAGACTCTACCGAGCCACTACATCTATGTACCCCGTAACAATGGACTCAGCTCAGTCAGTGGGATGTCCCATTGTTCCCTTGGCTGGACAAAGACTGTCCCCCCTCAAGACACCACTTTATGTACAGTTACAAATAAGTTACACATCACTCCTGACATGTCAGGTTGGCACCCTCTGGTGCTACTTAGATCCCACCTGGAAGGGGGTGTGCTCAATCATGTGTGCTGTGTTGACTTGCACACTTAGTCAACACAGCAGACTCCAAGAAAGCCCCAAAAACCACAAATCAGATAGGGGTCGAAGGCTCCTGGCCAGGTTTATTGTTAAGTGAAGTACAGTAACAGTTGTGAGTAGACTCTACCGAGCCACTACATCTATGTACCCCGTAACAATGGACTCAGCTCAGTCAGTGGGATGTCCCATTGTTCCCTTGGCTGGACAAAGACTGTCCCCCCTCAAGACACCACTTTATGTACAGTTACAAATAAGTTACACATCACTCCTGACATGTCAGGTTGGCACCCTCTGGTGCTACTTAGATCCCACCCATCACCCTGCACCTCATGGCTCGATTAGAACATCTTTATCCATCATGCTATCAGTTTAGACCCTTTCCTGAACCTGGGTCGGTATCTATTTTGAGTGTGGGTACCAAGGTCTTTTTTAATGAGCTGGTATTATCATCCTTTTGGAATGTGCTTTCAACCTATGATCAGTACCAATTACTGTTCCACACCTGGGCCTATTACCAATTATTGTTGTACACTCTCAGCCCTGTTCATGCCAAGTTCTGTGAACAAGGGCCTGCCTCTTGCTCCCAGCTTAGCTTTGCTTTATATTAGCTAAATATTGTCCATTGTTAGCTAGGCTTCAGGCCTCAAACCAGGCCTGTACTACATGGACTTATGTTATAGGCCCTCATCTTTCTACAGTTATGATATCAGACACTATATAAATTGTGTCTTGTTGCAGGCAGTAATTAACTCTGAAATGAGAAGTCACTTTTAATAAATCTGAACCCTCTATTCATCTCAAATATAAGGATGTTAAGAGGCAGGTAATTTACTAATCGTGTAGTTGATACAATTTGTATCAACTACAGTAAACTTCCGATAATCCGGCACCTTTAGGACCCAGGGGGTGCCGGATTATCAGATATGCCGGACTATCAGAAGGGGGGGCTATGAGGGGTCTGGAGTGGGGTGGGAGGGGATGCCATCCCAGATCCCTCATAGTCCCCCCTTACGATAGTCAGGCTCTGCCCCAGGAGTCCCTGATTCAGCCGCTGCTGGTCAGTTTCAGCAGCAGCTGAATCGGGGATGCCTG